CCGGTGGCGCTGATCGCGTGCTGCTAGCGGCCCGGAATTCGCATCACTGGTTGTAATCATAAGGTCGCACAGTGGGCCAGACGACCCGAAAAACTGGCCAAAAGTCGAGTTTAAAATTTACTGTAAACAATATTTCATATGTCATAAGAATATCTCAAAGAACATATAAATGAATTGTATAATAAGGTTTTGGTAACAGGTTTCGAGGAATAGCCACTTGATTACAAAATACAGGTGATAATTTCAGACCTATCTTTAAAATAAAAAACATTAAAACTATGAATATAAACTTTATAAATTAAATGTTTAAAAATCGTATTTGTTTTAAAAATGGACAAATAATAATACGATACATTTTTATTTACTCTAAATATTAACATTACTTTCTGTGGCAGAGCTATTTATGCGAATATTTCTGATTTAAATAGATTATGACTTCACACAAATCCATCGTGCCGACCTGTGGCCTCGGAATTAATTTTTTTTGATACTGTTATATTCATATAAATACGAAAAACTAGGAAAATACTATAGTATATGTAATGTATACTGTAGTATTTCCCTAGACTTTCGTATACGTTTCTTTTCAAGAATAGACTCCCTGAATGTACCCACTGACTATGATCCAAATTATCACATTACAGTCGTATAAAAATCTTCGAATTGACTGAATGGAATAAAAAATTCTTTCATAAAATTAAAGTAGACGCAAAATTAGGAGGTGGTGCAGTGGACTTTGTACTAAAATCGAAAAAAAGTTAAAAAATTTTTTAACATTCTTTCGATTTTAGTATAAAATCCACTGCACCATCTTCTAATTTTGCGTCTACTTTAATCCTGTAAAAGGATTTTTTATTCCGTTCAGTCAATTCGAAGAATTTTATACGACTGTAATGTGATAATTTGGTCATTCCAGCATCCCATTGTAGATAAGAAACTCTAGTTTCTCTCTGTCCGAATTCTTATTATAGGAACATTAGCTGCAAGCGGGGTTCCGCATCGCTAATTATTGGAGGCAATGGGCAGTGATTTGCATATTTTGCAAATCGCATTTGGGGGAATATTATTACGTTTCAAAATTCATCAAAATAAAAACTATTCATAACTTTACCTTATAACGTTTTCGGCCCGATCGGGTTTGCACCAACTTGAGTTGGATTAATCTTTCCTATTGGTTGACGTTCTACAAATAGGAGTGCACAAAACACCATTAATCCAATCCAGGTTGGTGCAAACCCGGCCGGGTCGAAAACGCTATTAGAAACATCTCCATTCAAATTGACTGTTTCACCGACAAAAAGATCACATTCAAATTTGATAAATATCAAGCGTCAATTCTGATTAAATGATCGTTTTTATCGCTGAAACAACCGGTGTAAATGGCTTGTGAGTGTATTAAAAAATATGAAACTCAATTACCAAAAATGAAATTATTTTATTCCATACAACTTTATTCTTATAATACATATAAAAAATGAGATTGTCTAAAATAGAACAAGATTCGTGTTGCTAAAATTTTTCCCTTTTTTTTTATCACACACACACACATTGCTGAAATTTGATTGGTTGACTTAATTTTTCTAATTTTTATTGTAGGCAGTAATCGTATAACAAATTAATAATAGATAGTCCCATATTGATAAATTAATTTATAACATTTCAATCCGAATTCAAAGATTCATTAATCAGAAATTAAATTTATTTGTTGATGCATTCTCCGTCATATTAAATTCAATCTGTCCCTCAGAATTCTCTTTAATTTCAGAAGTAAGAGTTTCTTCTATATCCTAGAAAAACAATTTTTTTTATTTGTTAGTCAACGATTATGACATGCATTGAATTAATTAATTAATACAAATTCAATACAGTTAAAGAGATTCGGGCTAAGATAATACTTTTGGCAATAAATTCTTTAGATTATAATATACTAGTAGCATCGAATCGAAGATCTAATTTAATTTGAGATTTAAAATGTATACAGATATATTATTCCAACATCTAATTTTGATCATAATTGGCGTTTTTCTTATTTGATTGATTAATACAAATTACAATTTTTATTTATAATATATATTTTACTTATTTAGATAAAATGCCTGTATAAAAAAAACAACTTTTCTATGTAGATTATTTTCAATTTATAAACATAAAATAAATGTACAAACCTTTTGAGAAAAAAATGCGTCGATTATAACCATAGATTTTTGATAAACTTTTTCATTCTGATGATGTTGAAGAGCTTCTATTTTATCTAATCCTCCAACTTCTTCGATCATAATAGCAAGTCTTTCTGCTTGTCCTATTTTCTCTGCTGCATGCAAAATATTAGTTAGACCATCTAATACAACAATAATAACATTCCAATCCTTCGATTCCAATAAATTACAAAAAGGTGGTAATACACCTGCTCCTACTAATTGGGATAAATGTTGAATTGTTCCTCCTATTGTCAAGTTAGTTATAGCCCATGCAGCTTCTTTTTTTGACTTATAATCCCCCTTAAAAAATGAATAAATTTATCTACAAAATTCTTTACAAAAATATTTAAAACAAGTCTTCGACTAATTTTTTCGTGTATGCACAAACATACTTACAAATTGCAGTACTTCTATCAATGGTGATAACAGATCAGCATCTATCACACTTTGAATTTGGTCCTCATTACCAGCCATAATATTACTAATTGTCCAAGCAGCTTCCTTTACAATATTGACGCGATGATACCGCAATAAGGCACCCAGATGTGACAATCCTCCCGCAAGAATTACAGCATCCGTTTGAGCATCGTCACCTGTTACTATGTTTCCAACTGTACGCAATGCTGGAGTAAGAATAATTCCTTCCTGCGAAGTCAACATCTCTACGAGTTTCGGTATAATACCAGTTTCTAATACTGCTTGTATTTTGTCGTTGGATCCATCAGTAAGATAAGAGAGTGCCCAACAAGTATCGGCTAGGAGAAACAGCAATGTAAGTATCTCAAATTCAGAGTAAATTATATAGTATATAAAATAACAATATGAACATCTTACCAAGTACATCTCGATCCGAATAATTAAGCAGGCGATTAAATATTGATAGAATAGGTCTAATCAATTCAAAAGGTGGAGGTGGATTCTTATTTCGACATAAATTAGATAAAGTCCATACAACGTTCCGCAAGAATGTCATCTGTATATTCATTAGTATTGGAAAATATTAAAATCTGTTATCAACTTATTCAAATCTTCCGTGATATATATATATATATATGTGTATATACACACACACATATGTTGGTGTACATACTATCTAATTATAAGACTAGATTACCTATTAGATTAGAATCTAATCTTATAATAATTAGAGAGCAATGTTAATATGATTGAATACTGACATTAATTATTTAATTTTACTACTATTACATTTACTACTATTACTATTACATTTTACCATAAAAAATGTACAAATCTTAGGCTCTGTGTGGATGGACAATGGAGGAAATATTAGAAATAAAAATACATATTAAATATTAAAAAAATAACATTAGGATAGAAATTAAATGTAACGCACAAAATCTTATATCTTACTTGTATTCATTGTGTGTAACATTTAAATCTATTTCTAATTTTATTTCTCTAACATTTAATATTTATTTCTATTTATAATATTTTATTTCATTTTACTTCTTTAAGTTCCTAATATTTAATTAGTCTTGCTCCTAATATTTCTTTCATTATGCACAGAGCTTAAAATTTGTACATTTCCGATGTTAATCAAATTTTTGAGTATTAATATCGACAATATGAAAGCAAATAAGACAAACATAATCGAAGGTTGTCAAATACAATATCACTTACTGAAGTATTAGGTTTAATTAAATCCAGCAAAATAGGTAGAGCATCATGTACAAGAACAAGATCACGTGCATATGGTCCATCTCCGGCTATATTTCCTAAGGCCCATACTGCTTGTTCCGCAACAACAGGTGATGTAGATTTAAGTAGTTTCACTAATTTTGGTATTGCTCCATATTTTACAACATTTTGTGTTTGTAAGGATGTACCAGAGGCTATGTTAGTTAATACCCATGCTACTTCAAATTGCAAAGCAATGCTACATAGAAATAAATAAATTATATCTTGTTTCATAAATATATGAAGAAACAATTTACTTAAATCGATAAATCA